ATTTTGGTCAAAATCCCGAAAAATCAGCCACCAGACGAGCCGACTCGCCGAGTCACAGAACTGGATTCGTCGAGTAGCCCTGACTCGTCAAGTTCATCTGGTGACTCGACGAGTCCATCAGTCAGATGCATGATTTTTCGAATTTTGAGCTTGAACAAATTAGCTATGCATCAAATACAAAAGATAAACGATCTAGGCTCTGATACCACTGTTGGGTTATGAGCAAAACAACATTCCTATGGTGTTCATGCAAACCCTAATGCTTGGATCTAGTTTTTCTATTTGTACATGCAACAATTGTCCAAGACTTGCAAATCCTAATCTAGCATACAACAAAAATCGAAAACCATATCTAATAAACAAGTTAGAAGTTACCTTTGATTGTTGCTAGAAGATCTTGAGCTTTTGAGAAACCTAGCACCTCAAATGCGATGCCTTTAATGAATCACAAACACCAAAAGCAATTGGATGATCTTGGAGAGAGATGGGAAGGCTAAAATCGGCTCTTGATCTCTTAGGGTTCAAGTGGTAGCCGAATTAGGGGAGCCAGGGGGTTCCTTATATAGCTCAGGAATTAGGGTTTTAGTCAAAGACCTCATCCGATTGCTTAGGCTCTAAGCAGCCCACAAGAATATTCCAGAATCAAGCCTTAGACGAAATCTTATGGGCTATCCATAATGATTTTCGTCCACTCCCTATCTTTAGGGTTTCCTCTGCCCACTTTGCAATTATCCAATAATTACAATATCAGTCCCTCAAGTTTAATTAATATCTTTTGACCACAAAATTAATTCTAAATTAATTCTTGACCAATATTAATTAAACAAATATGATTTCTCCTTTAATATATTATTCATATAATATATTAATAAACCATAATAACCTATTTCTCCATTATTCATCCAGTCAAGTTGCTCTGGTGAAGGCAACCCAAAAGGACCATGCTACAACCGGGTCAAATACATACCAAATATAGTTATGGGCTTAGACACCTAATCCAACAGTAACACCCTAAAAAGGCGACTTATTCTAGTCGGTACGCCCATTGTACTCCTGGTGTACGCCCAACGTACTGCCAGACTCTCTTCTTCCAGCTTAACTTCGAACAACCATAACTTCTTCGTTCCAACTCCGTTTTCGACGATCTTTATATCCACGGAAAGGCATCAACGAGATCTACAATTCTATCTTGATACTTATGACTAAAAACATTTCAATATAAAATCCTTAATTTATGCAATAATCCTGAAACATAACCCTTCCCATTTTACCCCTCAGGTTCTATTGAACAATCCAAGTTTTAAAGCACTTATCCAACATCATACACCTCTAATAGAGTCTAAACTCCATTCCGTTGAAGCCCAAGGCATCCGTTGATCCATTAATTGTCCACAATCCTGAAATAAGAACTTCTCAAGATAGAATGTTACATATTCTAATGGTGGTTTCTTAACAACAAATACATCACTACCTCTACAAGCGATATTAAGAAAGCAAAATAAGCAGTTTATAAATATCTCAAAGAAGTAATGACAACATGTCGAGCGATATGAAACTTTCAATAAGCTGATACATGTAATCCCCTGACATAAATATATTTTCTTAAGAAAGCAGACAAGTAGCTTAAAACGATCCCAAAAGGTTCAAAAACAACACACCGAGGGATATGAGAGTGTTGAATAACACGACACACACACATGAGATGAAGATATCACAATAACCAAAATACGTATTCGTAAAGGAGATCATATACAATAATAATGTCACAACACTCATCCAAAATGATAATAATTAATTTGGACATTATCAGTGTTTAATATAAGATGTTGAAGGCCCCAACAAAATTAGTGGCTTATTACTTCTTAATTTTTAAAATTTTAATTCTTTTGAAATGAAAAATCTAATATATTCCTAAATTACTCTTAATTTCATCTATGTCCATCCAAAAAAGATTTGAGCTCTCGACCTCAAGATGAGAAGACAACACCGGGTACCGATGAGCTAGAAACCCTTCGATTTTTTTTTAATTTATATAGTAGTTAATTAGAGGAGGAGAGACATGTCTCCTCACTTTCCACTATTCTCTGTACGTATTTTCAGTTATATTATTATTAGACTGCATATTTGGTTAATTTTACATAATGTTATATAACCATTATTTCTTTAGTAATCTATCATATATTAAAGAAATTTTTTTAGAGAATGTAAACATTGTTAATTTCTAAATAGCGAACCAACAATGCACGTATTATAGTACAACATATTTATTATTGTTTTAGCATGTGGTCTTTTTCTGCCTAATTGACATTCTTTGCAGTATTATAGTTTTTCCTTGTTTCCTCAAAGGGTTTTTCTTCCCTTTTTGCTAGTAAGGGGGCATTCTTGTGGCCTTTTTCTTCGAGAGATTAAACCTTAATGCTCCTTAGTGGTCATTCTTTCCAACATTATTGTTTTTCCTAAGAGGGCTTCTCCTGTTTCATGTTCGTAGACAAGCTATTTGTTTGCTTTCTTATATGCCGACATTCATCTTATACACATGGAGCAATATCGACAAAGATGGCGAAACACCATCAATCATAATCGAATTGGGGGAAACTCTTTTATTGTTGTATGAGAACACAAACGAATGAAGATCATAACGACTGGCTTACACTTCAAAGAACCCCAACAACTACATTGTAATAACCAGGCAAAAGCCTAAAGTTTCCGCACAAGTAATTAACGAGTAGAAATTATGACTTCAATATACACGGTCGAATTTTACATCAAGAAAAAGCAAAACCTCCCTATCAACAATGAAAATAATTACCTTCATATTATAAAGCTTTGTTAGCTGGGATAACTATGTTATTTATTAATATAGGCCGCAAAAAATAAAATATAATCCTAAAATTTTAATGAAATACCTTTTATGTCAAATCAGCACACACGAATTCACGAACATATATTCAAAGAATATGTGACTACTTTCTTAAAACTAGTGGGTGGGCCCGTGGTGAACCACATGTCACCTTGTGGCGATGTGATGCATTTTGTTTTATTCACAAAAGATGACGATAAGTAAAAGATGACGAAACGAAGCTCAAAACAGAAACACAAATCGATAGACGGAAAATGGACAAAATGAAGGTTAAAAATGGTCAAAGGGGCTGAAAGTGAGAAATATTAAAACACGTGTGGCCAATCTGTAACTAAATATAAGTAGTAAGACGAAAAAGGGACAAAAAGAAGGCCAAAATGGTCAAAGGGACTTAAAGTGACAAATATTAATAGACATGTGGCCAATCTCTAATTACAACATACCAGAGATTAAAATTATCAAACTATAGAAAATATTGTGGCAAAATGTTGAAACATACAAAACAATGGGACTTAAAGTGGCAAATACTAATAGACATGAGCCAATCTCTAATTACAACATGTCAAGGACTAAATTGTCAAACTATACAAAATATTGTGGTAAAATCTTGTAACATATAAAATATGGACTAAAATTATCAAACTATAAAAAATATTATGGCAAAATCTTGAAACATATAAAATATGGACTAAAATTGTCAAACTATAAAAAGCATTGTGACAAATCTTAAAACATACAAAATATACTATTTCTACTATTTCTAATGACCATGTCTATTAATAATATAGTATATAAATTCAAAAAGTTTGACCGTAAAAAAGATTTTCTTAAAAAAAAACTCCCTTGGAACTTAAACAAACCCCTACTTGTCTCTTCATTTCATCAACCATCAAATCATTAATATTATATATGTATTTTTTAAGTTTTATAAGTTTAATATAGATTTAAAAGTTAAGGTGTTACTTTAAAAATTGAAATTTTAAAATCTATGATTATTTATTATTTAATTTTCTTTATTTTTCTAATTTAAAAAATCTTTTAATTTTTTTACGATTTATTAGAATTACATTTAATATTATTTTTTTTATTTATTTTTCGTTGATATTTTGTTCGTTTTTTTTGTTATTTTTTAACGTTTGTTTGTTTTTTTGTTGATAATTTATTTGTTTATATGAAACCAACTTTTAAAAACAAGATGATCCGAATCCATAATTTTTTTACAACTTAAAAATGCTTTTATAAAAGTTTTTTTTATAACTTAGGAGTGTTTTTAACTTTTTAACATTTTGTTCATTTATCCGAAACCGATTTAAAAAAAACGGATCATTTGAATCCAAATCCTTAACTATTCTTTACAACTATTTCTTTGGTAGGAATTAATTTGATATGTTTATTTAGATTTTATATAGACTAATCCGGAGAAGTATTAAAAACTCGTATTAGTAGAACCCGTTACTGGTTATACTATAATTTCATATCTCATGCAAAAATCCGATAAATACTGGTTCGTATTTAATAGCCTAAAAATCAACTTTTTATATTTACGTATATAAGCTTATGAAAAAAAAAGCTAAAACCGGTTATCTAATAAACTCACTTTTTTCTTGTTGAATGTACAAAAATATGAAAAAACATTATATTTTTTTATTAAAATAAAGTTAGAATAAATACCTAATGAATAAATACTATTACGGCCATTAGTAATAATATTTTATTATTAAACAAATATCTTATAATGATATCTTTATACTATTATATAATTGATTATTATAAAATATTATTATTTCACGATTAAATATTAAAATATACATACAACAACCTGTAATAACTCTTTTAAAAAAATATGATTACAGAAATACATTTATATTTTTAAAGCTTGACGTCCTAAAAGTAAATAACGAAACGATGCAAAGTGTATGGTTTCAATGTTCACTTACAAATGCAAAATAAAATTATTTGTATATACATTGTTTAGATATACATTCCATCGTAGAAAACGGTTCTACGATAAATAAAGATCACGATTTTAACCATGTAATTAAAACTTCCAAAGCATCACTATAAAAAAAAAAAAAAAAAAACTATTTAACAAAATCAATAATTGCATTGCTAAGTTGTTCTCACGGTACAACCCGACATTGCGTCAAGAAAGAATTCTGCAAAATTGGGTCTCCACTCACCACTCTCTACTTCCGGTGAATTAGGTTTTGGTGGTGGTTAACAAAATGACAGTCGACGACGAGAACTCCGTGTATGTCGGCAACCTGCCTTACGACGCTACTGAAGATAGTATTCGAAGTGTCTTCGATATTTACGGGCAAATAATCGCCGTTAAGGTAAACATAGTGTGTGAATTTGCAACCTTATTTAGTTTATGATTCTTTGTTTTTGCTTTCCATCAAATCATTTGTCACCTGTATATACTATATACTATAAACTCCTTCCATCGAGTAAAAGAAGAAGAGGAATGATATTATTTGAACTTAATTGATGTGCATTTACGAACAACTAATAATCGCCGCGATTAAACGTTACTTTTGGGGAAAATTAGTGAACTGTTTTCTATGATTGAAGGGATTAGTATTAGTTGTAGCTTACGATTGATGAACCACAATCGTTAGTAGTGTTTCCTTTATTAAGAATGTCAAGAGTAAACTTTTTAAACGTTTGATTGAGAATCAGTTAGCATGAACTCACCATGTAATTTCAATAATGCTACATAATCTTCAGTAACTTCATTCTATTTGCCCTAAAACATATCCATGTATTCGGCTTAAAAAATCTTATAAGGAATCTGTCATTTTGTGGTAGTTTTCACTTTCATATTGCCATTTTGTTGCCTCAATACACAGAAGATGACCTAATTTCATCTGCTTTTACATATCACTTCCAGATAATCAATGATCGTGGAGTAGGTGGAAAATGCTATGGCTTTGTTACTTTCACAAACCCCCGATCTGCAGTTGATGCCATCAATGATATGGACGGAAGGGTATTCGTATAAAATTATATTTAGTCACATCTTAATGTCTTTCTTTCTTTTAGTTTTTTCAATCTTCTGAATCAATTGATCTGTTTCAGACTGTTGATGGGCGAGTTGTTAAGGTGAATGAAGTCAAAAGTAGAGGTGGAAGGTCAAACTTTGGGCATCAACGTGACAATTTTCGAAGAAATAGTAATGACAGAGATGTAGAGGTGGATAGGGGTAGAGATAGAGAGAGAAACTATGGTCGTGTTAGGGATAGGTCTAGAGACCTTGATCAAGATAAAGAAAGGGGATATGAGCGTGCACGTGATCTTGATCGGACACGCGACCGTTTCATTGACAGGGACAGAGACACTGACACTGACAGGGACAGAGACACTGACAGGGACAGAGACAGGGGACATGAAGGTGATCAAGCATGGGAAAATGATAGGGATCAAGAGAAGGAGATAAGAAGAAGTGACATTCATCATAGGAGTGGAAACAAGTATAAAGATCAAACAACTAAATTACAAAATGGGTAAGATTACCATTTTACCCTTGTAGCAAAATACTATATTTGTGTTCCCATACCAAATTGATGTATGTTTATGCAGTTCTGATTTCAATGATCGACATAGCAGAGAGCATCCATCAGGGTCAAGTCATGGAGATCATGATCATCATGCTGCAAAACAACTCGATGTTTCACGCCAAAAAATAGAAGAACTTCAGAAAGAGGTTTGAGTTTTTGCTTTTCAAAATGCTTATATCTATATGATAATTAATTGTTTCTGTTTAATCAAAAAAAAAAAAATAGTTAATTGTTGTGCTTTTTAGACAGTATTAGTAAGTTTGTGCTTTATGTTTTACTGCCTTGTGTTAATAATAATATTAAACTTGCATTTCACAGGTTTATCGAATGGAAGAGCTTGTAGAAGAGAAAGGTGATCATGTATCTAAGCTGCAGGAAAAGTCCCAGGTCTTATAATTAACATCCTCATAATAAACACCAAATTACAATTCTACTCTCCTTCAGTTTTTCATGATCTTTATTTTTTGTTACAGAAACTAGAGGATGCACTTGCATCTGCTAAAAAACTCACTTCAAATCGCAAGAAACAGTTGATTAAGGTGATTCCCATTAATTCCTTTTTTTTTTTGGTGTATTCATGTTGTATAATTTTTTTTTTTTTTTTGATGCAGCTTCATAAATGTTTTGTTAATATGAGAGAATATAGTGAAAAACTTAAAAGCTGTGAAGAGGAACTCCAGGTTAGTCTCTCTTATTATTATTTTTATTATTATTTTTTGACTTAATGTAGACAGAACAACTTAATAGAAAGAGTAGTCATGAAAGGAGACATTAAGTTCCAACTTTTTTACAGATTTGCCCTTGTGTCCAACCTTCTTTCTGCAGGCTCTTGTTGGATCAACATTGAAAGAATTAGAAAGTCACAATGTAGTGGACACAGATGGACATATGGCTTAAAGTTAATGGTTACAACATTGGCTTAATGACTGATAGCATGTAGTAAACGCTTTCACCTTTTTATTTTTTGACTAGGGTTATTATTGTCATTTCACATGTTGAGAGCAAACTCATGTTTTTTTTTTCCAATGTAGATAGAAATCAATAGCAGAATGGTGAATGTTTTTCCCGCAAAATAACTCCAAAGAGTTTTACAAATGCAAAAAATAAAACTCCCTAAAGTATTCTTTAAAATGACTAACAAAAATCGTAATTTGATTTATCCTAGCAAACTCTCCACTAAGAAGAATTACATGAAATCTTACTTGATCGATATTTGCATATACAAGTTTACATTTTTATTTATAGTGTTTAGAAATGAATATTTGATCATGGTAGACAAGATTGTGTGGTATCTTTTGTACCAATAGAAAGCATGATGCCTAAAGAATCTGATTGAACGATCGGTTACAACCAAAACGATGAACAAAGAAAAAAACATGACAATCCAATGTGGATATTCAAATATAATATTCAACTCCCTAAAATGGGTTTAACAATTTTGCCTTTTCTAACGGGAAATAATTTTTTTGGGGAAATAAATAAAATAAAAATAATTAAGTAATAATTTATAAAGAGTTTTAGAGAGATTGCTGTTAAATAATCAAAAGAGAATAAACAAAAAAGGCCTTAAGGGAGGACCGGAGCAGGGAGTCGTTCCCTCCCAACCCACTGAATCTACTGTTACATCAACTTTTTTCTCTTCTTTTTCTTCATATTTTCCAACCCACAACACACGGAAATCCTATCTTTCTCAACCCACTCAATCCACTCAATTAAAAAAAATACAAAACAATCAAGATAAAATCTTAATTAGCAATAGAGTTACCGCCGGTACCACTCCCTCTTTAGCGGGTGGTTTCACTAACCCACTTCATCATCTCTCTCTACTTTCTCTCTCTCATTTTTTCTTATACCATTTGTTTTAAAAAAAAATACAAAACAACTAAGGTACAAGTTTTAAAACACATGGTACAAGAGAAAATAAGAGAGAAAGTAGAGAGAGATGATGAAGTGAGTTAGTGAAACCATTTAAACAAGCCGTTGAAGCGGGAGTGGTACCGACGGTAACTCTATTGCTAATTAAGATTTTACCTTGATTGTTTTGTATTTTTGTTTAACTGAATGGGTTGAGTGAGTTCAAAAAGATAAGGTTTTCGTGTGTTGTGGGTTGGAAAAGATGAAGAAAAATAAAAGAAAAAAAGTGATGTGACAGTGGGTTCAGTGGGTTGAGAGGGAATGACTCCCTCCTCCCTAAGTGAAAAATATATGAATAGGAACCAAATTTGTGAATTAGACAAACCTGAAGGATTACCTTGACTTAGTTAAGACCAAATTTTTAAGAGTAGGAATTTACATGGAAAATGTGTTAAAAATATAAGTTACATTAAAAAACTAGTCAAAATGGTGGTAAAAATAAAGAAGATTTGTCTAGAGGGACCAATCTTACAATAACCTCAAAGTTGTGAAATTAGATCTAGATCTCTCCTTTCCCCTCTCATTTAAAATGAACCATCTATCTCTCAAACCCTCTACATGGCAAAGTAAGTTGCTATTTTCAACAAAACTGTATGCAGTTAGCAAAACACACAGGCCGTGTGTTTTGTCCTAAAAAATCAAACGGGCCGTATGATCTTTTGAAAACTTCCACAAGGATGCAACAAGTTGATCTTAGGATTTTAGGAAGGAATTTGAGTGTCTCCAATGATCACATAATATGAATATTTAAGGGTTTGGAATGATTACTTAAGCATAAAAACTTAATAATCATTGGTGGGACTTAATTATTATGGATTACATGATGAAATAATATAATTAGGTTCTTCTATGCTTCTTCTATATCCTAGATAAATTGGTTGGATGCTATTCCATATTTGGTGATGCTTCCTACTCATTGTTGCACTTGGAGATGATTATGAACCTCATCTTTTGGCTAAGGCGTCCTCATCTTATTTTCACAATTGATGTTTGATTATATAATTGATTTATTTTTTATTACCTGATGTTTGATATATATATATATATATATTATATATATATATATATATATATATATATATATATATATATATATATATATAAGGTCCGGTTCTGGTGAGTACTCAAAAAATTATGAGGACTGCGAAGACAATTCTCCACCATCCGTTGCGTCAATGACACAAATGTCAAACCCAATACTTGGCCGTGGTGCGTTCGAATGCGACCCATGTCTGTGGTAATTAATACGGACTCGAAGATTTAATCACGTGCGACGAACGTCCATGTAACGACATTTAAATGGGTTTTATTATTTATTTTCATTTATTTTACCTTTTTTTATTTTTAATTTTTTTAAATATATATACTCAGTTTTCACGTTTTTTTATTTGTTTTTGTTATTTTTTTAGTTTTTTTAAAGAATTTTTTTTGTTTTAATTTTTTTAATAGCTTTACTATATACTTGAAGATACTAGTGTTTTTGTTTATTTTTGTTTTTATTTTTTATTTTAATGTTTTGATTTTTTAAACTAAATAACGGTTCGAGTTTTTAATGTTTAACAATTACAATTATAAAATTTTAAATAAGAAAATACTAAGAAGCATAATATTTTCCATTCATACTTTTTTTGAATCATATTATTTTTGGATTATAAAATTTTAAATCAGATTATTTTGAATTATAGTATTTTGAATCAAATCATTTTTGAATCATATGATTTTAGATCAATAATATATTCAACTAAATGGAGTTTTTGTTAAAAAAATTATGGATAAATATATATTTTGAATCATAAAAGATATAATTAAAGATTATAAAATATTTGAGTCTAAATATTTTAATCCATAACAATTTAAGGATGATATAAACAAGTTGAATCAAAAGTTTTTTTTTGAATCATAAATATTTTGAATTATCACATTTTGGATCATATTATGTTAAACATTTCTTTTAAAAACTAATACTTCTTAAAATTAAAAATAAATACTTCAAAAATTTATTTTTGAAAAAATCTTTTTACAAAGTCACTACTATATTGAGCAGAAGTATCCTTTAAATTTTTATGATTTTTAGAGATTTTTTTTTTGGTTTTTTTGTTAAAAAAATAAAAATAATTTTTTTTTCAAAATTTTATGATTGTGCTCATTTTGTAGATAATTAAATTTTAAGAACTTTGGTTTTTTCAGATTCTTTTTCCAAAGAAAAAAAATTACAGCTGAAAAACGAATTGTTTTTTTTTCTCAGTCCTACCTTAAAACATTAAACCTTTGCTGGAAAATACCAAAATCTCGCATACAATTACCAAAACGCCATATCATCTTTTGAGATTTTAACAATAAATAAAATCAAATCTCCACCTTTTATTTTTTAATCATATGACAATGCTCTGTCTTCGCAGTCCTCACTTATTTTTGAGTCATCACCCGATCCAACTTTTTTTTTTCTCTCTCTCTTCTCTCTCTATATATATATATATATATATATATATATATATATATATATATAATAAAATCAAACGTCAATTGTGAAAATAAGATAGGGACATGTTATACCAATAAACTTATCTTAGCCAATTGATGTTTAATTATACAATTGAATTATTTTTTATTACTTGTCGTTTGATATATATATATATATATATATATATATATATATATATATATATATATATATTGAAGTTTGATCTCATTTTGATAATGATATTTGTTGTCTTACTTGCTATATGTGTACCATTGATATTTATTTGCATTCATGAAATAATTTTTGTTATACCTATTTTTTGATAAAATCTATGCATAGTTTTGAAATGACTTTGAGCATCTTACTTGTTACATATATATGTTGTGATTGGTTTAAGTGAGAGTTCCCAGGTACCTAAATTGACTACACTTTGTTTTGGTGAATAAATTTCTAGATAATTATCAGGTATACAAGTAGAGGATTTGTACACGTTGTGTAAGCTAGAGTTTATGTAACAAACCAAATGTTTTCTCATCTAATTATCTAGGGATTATTAGAGTTTTTTATAAAATTTGCGGAATTCTAAATCTCAAAAACACTTTACATTCCGGGCTAATATCGGTTTTACAATATAAACATATCTAAAGTTTAAGCAACACGGAATATAAATATGAAAATCTACTTCTAGTCCAAGTCATTGTGCTCCTACCCCCTTTCGTACAATGACTACTACCTACACATGCAACACATGAAATAATCTACTATTAGATTAGGGTGTCTAAGGTCTTAACATAATTGGTATAATGAATAAAAGTAAAGTCCTTTTTTGGGTTGCCATCATAACTAGGAATAGCTTAGATTGATATTAAGAGAGAGATTAAATGGTTTATTAATATATTATACGATTAATATATTAATTAAAAATAGTAGCAATTAATTAATAATTAATAAATCTAATTGGAATTAATTTTGGGTTAATTGGAATTAATAAAATGTGCAAGGGTTAAATTGCAATTGTTCAACAAAGAAGAAAATTCTAGAACCCTCCAGCTTATGGACGGTTTTGAGAGGCTTTTGGAAGGATTCTAGAAGCTCTTGAATTAGATAAGGAAACTATATTTGAATAGGAATAAAATAGTATTATTTTGTTATTCAAACTAGGGTTTTAGGGTTATCCGGTAGCTATATAAAGGGTGTTAATCCTAAGCCAAAACCGATACCTCCTCCCCGCTTAAAGAAATCAATTTTCTCCTCTCTTCCCTCTCTTCTATTTTCAATCCTAGGGTTTCCTAGGGTTTGGGTGTGACACATTAGAGACTACCATATTATTGGAGCTATCATTCCAAAGAAGGGATCTTGAAAGTTGGTTGCTATATTCGATTATAGCAAAAGGTATGTGATTCTAACTATGTGATTTTCGATTTTACATAGGTTAGTTTAGGTTTTTGAAAGTATGTTGCTATTATGAGAAAACCCATAGATTTCTAGGTTGCATGTGCCCATAATTGTTTATGTGAAATTCTGCTGTGCAAGTCATGTTTGATTAATTATTTTGTAACCTAGAAAACCCATCATCTACAACATCAGACCACAGGTCTGGTGAGTTATACTTTAATATTTTCTCATGTGTTCATACTTCATACACTACTATTCTGCTCTTTTTTCCATTACT